CTTGTATAAACACAAATTCGATTCTAAATTTAGCAATTTCTTTATTTGGAAAATTCACTCACTATTAATTTTAACCAATATAAACTTTCTATAGACACCCATTAAGCAATACACACAATACTAAGCTCACCAAAAATAAATGCTCCTTATTGAAAATTTTTACTATGAAGCACTGGGCGCTCGTTACCTTCAATGGATTCGCTTTCAAAGGCTAAACTTAACAAGCTTTAATTGCCCGATCACAAAGTACACATTTATTTTCATCGAAAAAGTTTTTACTTGATATTTAAAGCTCACAAAAACCACATACAACTTTCAAAATAGTTTTTAATTGGATTTAAAGGATGGAGCGAGTAGTGAATTTGATGTTATTAAATTGGCAACTTTTTAGTGACACACTAGAAATCGATTGGAAATTGCGAACAGGTTTTAGTTTTTCGTTTTCATGGCCTTCTTTTTCACTGGTACAAGCTTTTGAAAGCTGAAACGAGATTTCATGATTTTGGTTTATTATTTAGACTTTAGAATAAGAAAAAAATAAATTTGTGGATAAATATGTGAATAGACTTTCATTTAGTTGCGTAAAATTTGCAATTGCTTCAGTAATTATAGAAAAGTGTCAAATAAAGGTAGCTTAAAAATTACTAAAGCGAATTGCGCAGAAAGATAAAAATTATTTAACTTAAAATGATAGTCACTAGACTCAATAAATATAATAGAGTATAGCACTTTATTTTTACACTGAAAAGATATAAGTTGTCTGTGCATTTACTTTGTTTAAATATTGAGCACGTAGTTTTAGAGACAATAAAAAGCATAAATCAACTGTGATTTAGCCTTAAGATAGTCTACGGCAGGCAATTTTTCAGTAGAATTCTGGCAACTGATTTCAGAGGCACATAATCAACTATTAAGGACACGAAATTTAGTCAAACTTTACTGGTTTTAGCTTATATATAAAAAAACGTTGCCTACATCTAGGCTCTTATTAGCATAGCCACATACCACATTTACTTTAAAGGCACTTTGGGCATAATAAATCAATTGCCAGTGGTTGCTATATAATCAAAATAATTTGTTATGTCTCTGTTCAAAGAAAGAAACAGTTTGAGACAGCAATAAGTATTATCTTTATTAATATCAGGCAATTTATTTTGAATCTGATAAAGGTATTTTAGTTCACTCCATTTGCAGCATAAATTTTATGCTTTTTTATATAATTTTAATAATCTGACGTCAAAAAATTAATATTGAAAATGTAATAAATTTCTTTTACTTAAGTATTGCATTAAGAAATGTTGCCTACATCTGGGCGCTTAGCGAAGGCTCAGGCCAAATTTGCAGAAGAAAAAAATTGGAAATACTCAGTTATTCCAAATCGACATTATAATTAAATTTATTTATAAAATATAGTATATACATATGTACATATACTTGTATATAATCAACGTGACGAACTAAGTCGATTTAGCCACGTTCGTCTGTGCTTGTGAACGAAGTAGTCTCCCAGTTTTCAAGATGTCGAGCTGAACATATTCTCTTTTCACCACGGAGCTGCTCATTTACCACAAAAACTGATATAGGACCAATATAGAGGGTAGCTGCCATACAAACTGAGCTATTTAAATTATGTCCTTGTAACTTAAAGAACACTTGAAGAACTTTTTTCTTTATAAGACACATTCATGAAATTTGGCATGGATTATTGTCTAGCACAAAGGTACAATCTGCGAATAAATTGTTCAAATCGGACCACTATAGCATATAGCTGCCATACAAACCGAATGATCTAAATCCGGTATTTGTATGAAAAACTTTTTACTTTCCAAGATATCTTCTTGAAATTTTGCGAGTATTATTAAACAGCACAACGCAGCGCAGCGCAGAGTATTATGGATTCAATGCAGCCCAAGTTAGCATTATTTTCTTGTTTTTACTCTTTCATTGAAAACATGAAGAATTTTATATTTCATTTTGTTACCTCTACTAATAGACAATGTCATATATCTCAATATTTTTCGTCTCATTTGCAATTTTAGCATAAAAGCTTGTCGGTGTACTATCTTAATATATATCCATATATATAATATGTATACATATACATACATGTATGCAAAAACATATTACGGTATATATATAAATGTCCACCCAATTGCCACAAATCGCTTTGATAGTGACTGGTTAAGACTCAGTGACTCAGTTGTGTGCCAGCAAAGAGCAAGTGTCATACACCAGGCCACACACACGCACACAACGACATATATGCACACACACAAAGTCATCAGCATAATATGCTTACCTGGTCTGCATATGTTTATTTGTTTATCATACTGATTGCCATATTATCATTTTGCATGTGTGTGTGTGTCTAGCCGACAATCAATCATATTTAATGAGTTATGAGGAGGGTAAAGGCAAACGTCGGCCAGCGTCAACATACACACACACATTCATTTGTATATTGCTATAAATACCCATGGTCAAATGATCAGCATAACAGAGACAAGCGGCATGTGCGGAGAAATGCATAAATTATAAGATAAAAACAGAGAAATACCGAAAAAACAGCAAATATGAAAGCATATTTATATGATGTGTACACACATATATACAACTATAATTTGCAATCATTATACAGTGATAGACATATGCTAGGGTATGTGTACCAAGCGTGTATGTAAGTGTTTTGATTGCAATGCTTGTCTTGTGGCCAAAGTCAGTTCAATGACACTGTGTTTACATTTTATAGTCTTTATTATAATGTGTATATACATATGTAAATGTCATACATATGTGTGCTTTCTTACATTTATTTGTGTGTGTGTGCTTATTATTGCAATTTTACGTTTGCTTTGCTCTTACTCGAAACCGAAGTTATTTTATTTATGCAAGCACATTTATATTTTCATTACTTCTTTATTGTTATTTATATTTGCGAATTAATGCTTATTTGTTTCTATTCTCTGCTGCAGCATATAATTCAGAATGTACTATTTATTTATGCTAATGTAGAGTCATTTAGCAGTGATGACTCTTGTGCGGCCAACAAAAATACATGAAATGCCTGGTTGCTTTGAACGGGAGATAAAAGAATTAGATATGCATTGACATTTTTTTCTTCTTTCTCTGTAAAGAAAAGCTATTTACTCCAATTTCTTAAAACTCGGTTATAGACAATAGAAGATTCAATGTTTTTTTTTAGATAGAAATGGTGTGTGACTTCGCTAATATACGCCTAGATGTAGACAAAAAATTTTAATGTAATGTTTAGCGACACATACTATAAGGTAAAATTTACAAAATCACTTTTCTTTCATACTTCGGCGAGTGCAACTTTTAAATGAATATCTCAAATGGTCTTTCAGATGTCGGCTTCTAAAATGTAGCCGCAAATTTCAATCAGCACCAGCGGCTTCTATTTGAAGACGTTTTTGCTCAAAACTACATTTCTAAAATTGGTTTGAGTGTCTAGGTTAGGTTAGGTTAAGAGGACGACCCTAACGATGTTTTCATTTGAGCAACCTGGAACGCCAGTCCCTCTTGGTACCTAAAACTCCTACATAATTGGCCATTATACTCTCATAAATCAACAAAGCGCTTTGAGTCTCTTGCAAATTTTCTAGAGCGGCTAATGTCAGTTATGGCTTTGTCTTCTGATTTCTCGAAGATAAGACCGTGGAGATGTTTTGTTCAAGTTTGACAACTTTCGTCCGGCAAGATTTTTACCGTTAGCCCCTCTTGCCAGCTCAGCGGCTTTGCTATTACCAGCGATATTATTGTGATTGGGCACAAAAAGAGGCCCCAGTTCTTAGCAGTGCATCTACTGCTACCTTTATGCGAATATCAGCTACTTCGGCCTGAAAACCTGAAAAAACGCCACAGTCATCCGGTAGCAAATCAGCTATGACCTCATAAGCCAATAAAAAAAAATCCGGTAGTCTAAGGATAAGCTCGACGGAGAGCTTTTTAAATCACTCCTCACATACTAGCACCCCAGACTCTTAGTTGGATTTCATAGCATGGTGTATGCAGATTTTAGAATACTTTTAAGATTCAGGAAATTTTTATGATTTCGAAATAATGACTCTCAAGATTAACTAAAAACACTAATGCCTCGGTTACTGAAACGTGCCTCGGAATCAGCAAGTAGGCGGTTCGTGAAATTCTAATTGAGCTCTACCTAAACTTCTTATTACTCGTACGGTTGAGTTCTTCATCATCACTTAGTTGAGTATGACCCTAGAAAATCTAAGTAAGTGCTAAAAATTCATATCGCCTCTTAACTTTATGCAACAATTCGTCCTGATCCCAAAACCTTCAGCTTTCCCGAATTCTTTATTTTTAGACAACCATGTTAATATCTCGGAGCGTCAGTTCTGTAAGCTATTCCTTATACTGTCAACTATACAAATTCTCATTATTTTATCCGTATTAAAATAATTTAAGGTTTCACGAAAGGTGTAAGTTTAATACTATTTTATAAAGTACCTTAGAAATTCACATATAAAACGCACAATGTCTAACACGGCTATTGAGATTTTATGCTGCAAGTCCGAAATTACGTCACCGCTGATGTGCTTCGCTTTTGCTCATCACTTTAGGTCTATTTAAATTTGCTCCAATTATGGGAGAAGCTCAGTTTTTAAAACCCATATAGTAATAGTAGTTGGCGCGTGATATAATCGAAGTCGCAAACCTTGATGTAGTAAAATATCTGATATCATGAGGGCATTCATTAAAAAGCAAAAATGTTTTTAAATCAATCAAAAATGTCACAGAAGTTTTTCGCTCTCAAACTGTATGCATATAGAAATATCTCAGATATACCATATAAAAATATCCAATATTGCTTCATATCAATATAAAGTAAAAATAAAAGTGTAGATTTATTTTTCCCCCTGATTGTTAATATATCTACCCGCTACTCATTCCAATGCCATAACTAATTTTAATAATTATTTCTGTTTTCTTTTTCTTTTCCTTACTCCGCCGCCGCACAGTTGCATAATCACGAATTCGTCGAGGTCTGCATGAAGATACTCTATCAAGTGGAATTACATCGCACCACACTCGAGCAAATGTGGGGCTTCTCTGTCGAAGCGGAACTGATCGAGAATGCCGAACGGCAGGATGAACTCTGCTGCTATGTCAGCCGAGTGGAGGACAAGAGTGTTGCCATGCAGAACGGTAAGTACATTAAAGTAAGAGTAATTAAAGCACAAAAATAAAAACGAAAAATATTAAAGCATACTATATGCGAAAAATTTAAATGAAAAGACGCGCATGACGCAGTTGAGAAGATAAAATGCAAATTAAATTACTCACAAGCGAAATTAATAATACCCAATACACACGCGGAAAGCTGTGTGGGTCTCGCTCAGTGCGTGTGTAGCGCGATCCCAGCGCTGCTGAAGTGTGTATGTGTTCGGTATAAATTACAGGTTTTTTATTGTTCATTAAAGGGAAATTGAATTAATGTCATGTAGACGTACTTGTTGTATTAGTCGACGAAATTGCGGTAGCAGTACAGTAATTTTCGCACATGATTAAAAGTGGCAGCGTTAGCACTTACATTGATGTGTTTGCAATCACATGAATATACGAGGGTAGTTTGATTAATTCCACGGGAATGCCTCCTCCATTAATTTACTGCATATAAGTGGCTCGAAAATTAGAAAATAACTGTTATATGAGAATCATAGATGTTTGCGAAAACTGCAGAGAATCTCTTAATTGCCAAATTTAAATTATTATTAAAATCAGTCAATTAACGTCAAGCCAAGGTATTTTTTTGTTTTTTTTTTTTTTCAAATAGACTTAAGTTGTAAGAGATTGGCACACATCCATATAAGCGAACTCAAACCAAGTTTTCTATTTTCTACTCTAGCAACTTCTATGCATATTTTTTGACGCAGCTTTACTCTTTCATTTGCTCAGTAGAACACCGAAGTGTACTTCTCAGTTGACTTATAAAATATTAAGTTACTGAATGTCAAAAATAGAGGGAATTTATTTAGAATTCATGCTGCGAAGATGAAAAAGAACACGTAAAAATACTATACTTTTCTAAAAATATTAGTGCCCGGTTTCACAGTGCATACTTAAGTTGTGTTTAAGATAAAACAGGAAAATAACCTTTTACAGTTCATAGTTAAGTTATGTTTCAATATATTCTATGAAAAAATATGGAATCGCATTTTCAGTTCCAATAGGTGCACCGACTCTCTTGCCGTGAAATTCGGGATTGTTTTCATTCATTTTCGATATAAATTTTCTCGCTAATTTATGTATCGTCTTTAATAATTTAAATATTTCAGACATATTTTTATGGATGACATTTGTAAAACATATGTTGTTATATCATAATAACATTTTATAGAAATTAAGCATTGACTTTCGTTTGCGTTTCACAAACGACTAGTCAGTCTGCAAAAATACTTAGCTAAGACTTTATTTGGGCACAACTTAAGTATGAACTGTGAAACCGGGTAAAAGAAAAAATAAGGTGGAGATAGGCTCCATGAGAAATAAAAATCTTGATATACCACAAGGTTTCAAGAAATTGCTGTTATCGCTGTTAAGCCTTGGCGAAAAATAAACTCAGATCTCAGATATTTCAACTCAGCTTTTTTGAAAAGGTTTAGATACTATTTAGTATTAGATTACAACTTCTCTAGATATTTCACTGATATTACACTATAACAAGCAGTCTTCATTTCGAGTTTGCTTTGCAAAAGTTTAATCTTACGAGTTCTGCTCTAAGTTTAGAGCAGTTTATGGACTTTATTACTCCACTCAATAAAAACCTGTTAGCGCATTTTCATATTATTTGTGATATTTTTCCAGTTCTGAGCAGTGACTGCTAACGAATTTCAGTTAGATAAATTAAGTAGTCGAAAAAGTCTTTTTATTTTTATTTATTTATTTATTTTTTTCATCAGTGTTAATCGAAATTTCCAGAACTGAAGCAAAGGACGCATTGTTGTGATACAGGAACTGGTACAGCATCGTCTCCGTAAAGTTCGTGGTTTGCGTGGCATTCTTCCCATTTTTATACAAAAATTTCAAAATATGATGTGGTGAAATACCTAGGGCTTATCCTTGATAGAATGCTTTCATAGAGGACAAAAAGCTATAGCGAAGAAATGGGATTCTCATCAAGGTGGTGTTTGCCTCTATTAAGCCGTAGTCAAGACAATAATGATTTTGATGCATTCATCCTGTAGAAAACACTTGAAAATACTATACTGAATGTGCCTAAAGAGAAGCTGGCACTTAATGTTATTATACTCATAGCACTCGTCGATATTGGCGGCAGGTGCCTTGCTGCGAAGACCGCTCTAATGCTCAAAGAAAATGGGTATAAGGAGCGAGGAGAGGGAATATTCTGTAAAAAGCTCTTTGTCAAACTTAGCTATAGCCTAACAGACCACTTTAGTGTTTTGTCTGTAATATTTTTTGTAGTGTAGTGGCTGCTATTAAATGAGCAGTGGAGTGAGATTAATGAAACTCGGCAGTCATACTTCCGACGAACCAGAACACGTAACTAACATTAGCCGCCTCAAGAAATTTGTGATAGGATCAAAGCGCTTTGTTGATTTATCAGGGTCTTTGTGAGCAATAGAATATATTCCGTAACACAATAAAACATTGTTTTAAGACGTCCAAGTGAGATTCCTGATAAGATCGTTAATCTTAGCGTAAACTAACATATAATTTATTACTGAATGGCTGGAGATGATGATGATATCATTCAATTCARGGTGGTGGACTTTGGATGAGAAATTCTACCATGACATTCTAAGCTAAAAAAAAACCCTCAGATTATACGTATTTCTTTATACTGCTGCAGTAAAGAGAATAATCGAAAAACAATTTGATACTTGAAATCAATTCTTGAGAACCACTAAGTGCCAGTGAAGCCACCGAAAAACCCACTGACGTACCCAACCATCCCCATATATTTATGCCTGTATCTCCTGCTGCCTGCCTGACGTAGAGCCATGATTTCGGTTGCTCCAGCTTGTTTACACTGTTGCCCATCATGACTTGTCCGACATAAAAATTACGCGCTACAACAACCACAGTAGCAACAGCAGCAGCGACAGCAGCAACAACAACTGTACAAAATTAAAAATCGGCAAATTAATTGCACGATAACAAAGTTATATGACCGACACCGCTTGATGTTGCGGCGCAGCAATTGCAACTGTCCGGCAACGAGAGAGGCGAGAGGAAAGAGAGTTGAGAGAGAGTCAGCCAGCCAGTCTGCCAGCCAACCGGGCGTATACGTAATTTAATTGAAAATCGTACACGCTACACTGGCATACCCCCGCAATATTGCGAAAAATTGCCAGCAACAACAACAAGTGTGAGCGGAGCGAGTGTGAGCTGGACTACAGCATGCACAGACGCTACGGCGACTTCACGCCTGTAAAGCGCTAATGCTGCAGGCGCTTAACAGCAGCAACAGTGGTGCCGGTGCTGTTGCTATTGGTTGTTGTTGTTGTTGTTTGAGTCAGTGGAGGACGAAAGCTACAAAATTGCGGCTGATGATATTGTGAGCGCTTCGCTGAGCGTGTACGGCTTGTCAGATTTTCTTGTGCCTTGCACATGTTGCTTGCAACGCTGTGTGGTGCGTTTTCGTACGCGTGTTTGTGTGTATGGCGCAGCTGTAAGGTATCCGCTGTAAGTAGACACTGTTGAGCAACCAAAGTGGCATACTCGTGATACACTTCAGGCGCTACACACACGATTACATGCGCCTGCTAACGGTTAAAGTTGGACACACACACACACACGCGCACCCGCATATAGCCACACAGGTGAAAGAATGTTGTTACGAGTTTCGCAGCGTCGGACTGCTGCGTTGCGCTGAGGCGCTGAGTTGCGTTGAAATGCGAAAATGAAAATGATGCAAGGCAATAATCAGATTATCACCTGGAAAATTCTGCCACTTTCAACGTTTCGCCCTGCAACAGCGATCGCCTGCCTGCCAGCCAGCCGACTTCCCCTCCCCACCCATTGCATAGCAATCAACAGCGCATTTCGTTTGCGCTGCGATATCGATTGCGTTGTTTTCGGCTGTTGTCGAGATATAAATGTTGCCTGCTGCTTGCTGCCTCCCAGCAGGCTGGCTCGACCTCGGCAACGGCCGGCGCTTAAACGTTGCTTAATTGTATCGGCAACTTTGTTACGGCGCCATTGCTGCTGCAGCATTGCCTCCGTGCTACCACTTACGTAGACACTAATACACACACATACACATGCACACATACGTGCATACATGCATACATAGGAGTGTAGGCTGCCTTGTAGTACACGTGTAACACCCAGGGACTCGAAAATGCCCACCAACGCACACACGTGCGCACTCCATATGCCTACCTCAGCGCCGAATACGCACTCACACACACATGGCTGCTCACGTAATTGCGTTTAACAGCATTTGCTTGCTGCGGCCCTTCACTCAGTCGACCGGCACAAAAGTATTTAGGCATAATACGATTGCTCCTCAACGCCCCTGCCCCTCACTTCGCGCACACCATTTCGTTCTCTCTTTGTATGTGTGTGTGTGTGTGTGTGCGTGTTTCGTATCGACAGCCTACTTGTTAATTGACAGTGTGATGTGCGATAAGGCAGAAAAAAGGAGGAAAATTAAGCAAGAAAAAATTGCGCGCAATAAATAACAACGCGATAAAGTTTTTAATTTAATTTCTCATCGACGGAAAATGCAATTTACGCATTTCACCTGCAAAAGTCGCGCGGCGCGCTTATCGAAAATGCGAATTTCATAAATTTTGTGACATTTCAGTGATTCAGATATCGGCGCGCGCCAAAAGGGCAAAGTGATTTGGCTGCAAATGAAATATGCTACGAAAAAAAATAAAAATAAAATTCCATATCAGCAACATCTAGTAAAAATTCATCCATTACCATTGCAAGTCAGGAAATCGCGTCTTTGTGATATTTATTTACTTATTTATTGTTGTTATTATTATTATTATTATTATTTTTTTTTTTTGTTTTTAAGAAACCAAGTTAAATATTTTTTGAAAAAAAGAAAGATAAAACTAAAAAACATTAATAAAAATATTTTATGGGCTATCTAAGATCGGCGACAGGAAGCGGAGAATTCTGAATTTGAACTTTTAAAGGTTTAAGCTAAAGTGCAATGCTGCAGGGAA